ATTGGAGGATGATGTCAAGGGGAAAATAATATATTCTATTGCGCAATGTCTTTGATGTAAGCGAATTATAATTTGATTGAGCGTTTATATTTATGTTGTAATTTTTGAATAGTGTACTGAGGATGGTCACTCTTGTAGGACCGAAACGTTTAATTGTGTCTTTGACAATAAATTATTGACTCTAAAAGTCCCACGAACTAGATTTTGTGTGTGGTTTTATGCTCTTCTAATTTTTGAAATTATTTGTTTAATTAAACCACTTTCTATATAAGTCTTATATTTAAATTATCAGATTTAGATTTTAAATTGTAATTTGACTCTTATTCGCCCTATTTAACGTGTTAATTATTAATAAGATTCTGGTAAAGACTCTGTATCATTTTGTTTATTAAGACCCTGTTTTGCCTTTTAATGTGAATCATTTCAGACACCAATCTTTTATTATAAGAAGATTCAATGTCTAAAATTTGGACATCATTTAAAATTGTGGTTAAAGTTAATACGATGTTCAGTAATGACAGAAGGAGAACCTGTCCTTTTTCTAATGTCAGACATATGTTCTTTTAGTCTGGTACTCAATTTTCTTTTTGTTTGACCAATATAGCTGGCTTCACAATCATCACAGGTAATCTTATAAATAACATTGTTGTTAGAAAAATGTTCTAATTTGTCTTTACCTCTTTTAATAAAACTTTTTAAGGTGTTGGGAATTGAAAAGGCTAATTTGCAATGGAACATGCTGGAAATGGGAAGGAAACTTTCAGATATAGATTTAACGTAAGGAATTGTAAAATATTTATCTTTCACATGAAAATTCTGTATATTCTGTTTATTATGTATATGGTATTTTATTCTTTGTTCTATGGTAGAAAATATAAAGGAAAGAGGATAGGAATTGTTTAAAAAAATTTTTATAGCTTCTATTAAATTATTTTGCTGGAATCGAGGATGTGATAAAAGTAAAATTTTGTCAATAAAACTGATAATAATGCCTTTTTTATGATAAATAGGATGGTTTGAGTGAAAATTAAGTAACCTACCTGAGAATGTTTTTTTGTGAAAATTGTCAAAAATAATTTATTTTTTAAATTTATTGAGCCTTGTTATTAACTTATATTTTTATTCGATCTCTCACCTAGAACACTATATTTGATTCAAGATTTTGAAGCACATGTATGTGTGAGTTACAGTTTTCAATCACGTGTATCTTCATAAAGTATACATTTTTAAAATATTATTCTAATTCATAATTAATATTGTGAGGAACGATTTTTCTGTTAATCAATTTCGTAATAACATTATACCAAAACACTTATTACGTTTATTAGTGTATTTGATTATGTATATGTAACAGATTTTGACATTGGAATTAATAAATATTCACTTCTATTGCATTATCTTTCAATAATAGAATGTATTATGTTAAAATATTTTAACATAACGTCAATGTAGATATATTGGAAAAGCACCGTTCGAATACTATCACCAAGAAAGAGAAATCATAATAAAGTTCTTAATAATGAACATTAGAAAGAAACATACAATAACGAACTTAAAGTCATATCACAGGTATAACACACTACGTATAATTAACTTTACAATAAACGTACATAAAAATGAACAGATATTCTTCTTTTACATCATTTATGCTTCTTTCTAATGTTTAGTATTAAGAAATTATTATGATTTCTCTTTCTTGGTAATGGTATCCGAACGGTATTTTTCCAGTATGTCTACATTGATGTTCTCTAAAATATTTTAACGTAATACATTTCATTATTGAAAAATAAAGCCATGAAAGTGAATATGTATTTATTCCAATGTCAAAATATTGTATTACATACGTATAATCAACTATGCTAATAAACGTAATAAATTCTTTTGGTATAATCAGAACAATTCTTTCTCACGATATTAATCAAGCGACGCGGTAGCGTCGCGACGCCAAGTGCATAAAATAAAAATATAACCGTTTGAAATGATGACATGCATGATACTTGATGCGTGTATATGTTCATGTCGATGTCAAATTCAAGACGCTACCACTAGCTTTATCTCGAGTTTTCACATCTTGAATCTTTAGATTAAAATTACTCAGAATTTAAAAGCAGAATCAAAAATCTAAAAACACTTTTATTATATAATGTCATCGGTATCTTTCGATTGCGACCAGTCCGAATAAAATTGGTGCAGCCGATACCGAGATCTAGAGACCGAGTCTCGAAAAGGGTACGTTTCAGTTATGAGTATGTTCAGACGTACGTGTGACATATACATGTATTTTTCAATCGTACGTGTGACACATACATGTAATTGTAATTCAACTGCTTTACTTGAAAAGACTAGTATAACAACGACCAAACGTGTACTTATTATTCAATTATTATTATTTAAAGTTAATAATGAAGAAGTTATAAAGATTACAAATCTTAATATTAAATCCATACCTTCGTCAAAAATTTGTATCGGTGATAATATTTATAAAGTTAATAGTGCGATTCTTCATCATGGTAAAAATATAGACGAAGGACATTACACAAATTTATTGCGAGCTAAAGGTACAAAATGGACATCCATAAATGATTTAAAAGTTGAAGTATGTAAGTGGCCACGAAATGCAAAGAGCGCGTATATATTTTTCTTAGAACAAATCTAAATTAAGTACAAATAAACTTAAGTATAATTAAGTGTCAATAAATACAATACGAGTACATCTTTAATATTAAATAAATAGAAATTTACAAAATAACTATTTTAGAAACAGAATCTGTATTTATTTTTAGAGGATTTAAATTTCCTACATTATTATCACGTTTTCATAATTAACAAAAAGCAGTGAAATCCCAAAAAAAAACCTTTTTTTAAAAAAAGAAAAAAACATACGCCAAGTGCATATAAAAGATACTGAACTTCTTGATCAAAAACAGATATGAGATAAATATAATTGACCAAGTGTATTCTTCATTACGCCAGTCACATAAGACAGACCGAAAGTGACTATAATTGTCAACTGGATTATAGTGAAGAAAAAACTTGGCGTGCCCGGGTCGCATTAAAACGCAATATTCTAGAACCTTGGTTCTATCGCAATATTCTGCAGTATACACAATATATGCGAAAACAATTCAACAAAGAAAAGATGTTAATAATTGCTTACTGAACATATTATAATACTTAGTTGTGAATATATTTTCATGTCCCACAAATTATATCACTATATAGTGAATGATGATACTAATTATATCGCTATATTATACGTGTATATTATACGTATATATTATGCGTATATATCTGTATACATATGTCTGTTATTTTTATATTTTAATTTATAATGCAAATACTATGTTGAAATAATGTTTTCACTGAATACTGTTTACAATTAATGCGACCCGGGCACGCCAAGTTTTTTCTTCACTATAATCCAGTTGACAATTATAGTCACTTTCGGTCTGTCTTATGTGACTGGCGTAATGAAGAATACACTTGGTCAATTATATTTATCTCATATCTGTTTTTGATGAAGAAGTTCAGTATCTTTTATATGCACTTGGCGTATGTCTTTTTCTTTTTTTAAAAAAAGGTTTTTTTATGGGATTATTAATTAGAATAATAATTTGTAAACGTATATGAAGATATACGTGATTGAAAACTGGTTAACTTACACTCTAAAATCTTGAACTAGGTGAGAGATCAAACTATAACAGTTTTTTATATTTCAAAAATAAATCACAAAAGATCAGTATAGTAGAGGAAAGTCACCGATACTGACATAGGTCTCCTAAAGTGACACCCCCTTATTTCTCGTTAACTAATCTTTGCACTTCATTAATACTAATGAAAACATGATCTGTTTAGGTAATTAAAGAAGTAAAAACCCATAATTCATATATATGTGACTTGTTTCTATATAAAATCAGCTAAAAACGAATTCTACAAATGTGAAAACTAAATTCTTATGATGTTATTTTATAAATTACATAGTTTAAGTAATAGTAGCTATATTAGTGATAATATTAAGTCCTTTTATATGTTTGTAGTTTTCTAAAACTATTTTATTTATATTTTCCTGTTTCTTATTTTTCTTTATAATACGGTTTTAAAAATAAAATCGTTTATAGCCTAAACCGACATGTAGTCACGTGTCCCATCACGTGTGACATATCGCGCATCGTAACATAACCTGGTCACAGTACTGTGACCTGGTAGCATAATCTGGCGCTCTTGATACGCTTCTATAAATTAGACGCAAATATCATGGAACAGCATAGTCAAGGTACGTGTGTAAATATATAAAGGAATAACATCAATTTACAATAAAGTGCGAAATAACATTACTGATATCTATACGTAGTTAAAAATGCCGTAAGGAGATAGGGCTATGGCAGAGAACGAGACGTAACATGCGTAATCGTAACGTAAGTAAGGCAGAGAAAAACGTAGCTGTCGTAGTAGTGACTGGCAGACTGGTTTTTCGCTGTCTTACCTTACGTTACGACTACGCATGTTACGTCTCGTTCTCTGCCATAGCCCATAGATTATGGGCTTTGTTTACAATCTTCATGGCTATTTTATACTTTTGAGTGCTCTTTGTTTATTGAATTAAAAAATATTTAAAATGATTTTACGGTGTTATCTATTTAATGATATAAGTCGATACAAATGTCGTCTTGTCCATTATTAACTATTGAATGCTAAGAAAAATCCCAGTAAATACCGAATAAAACTGCTATATAACATATATACTTAAATACATGTAAATGATGATCTGTATACATGTCAAATGTAAAGTATAGAACGACTACATCTTTCGTAATATTTTACGTTTCTAACCCCTATTTTTCAGTACTTACGATAAATGCAACCTCATATAGTTGTAAAAAAGTTAATGGAAAAATTCTGAGGATATATATATATATATATAGATATTAAGATATTAAGAATATAAACTGCCCTTTCATATACCTATATATATATATTAATTTGTACGATTTTTTATACAGATGACTTCTAGCAATCAAAAAGAAAATATACCTCCACGTCACAATACCAATAAAGGAAAAAAAGTTCGACAGTGGAATCCGCAAGATATGGCAAAAGCAATAGAAGCTGTTCGCAATAAGGAAATGGGATGGTTAAAAGCTTCTAAACAGCTGAATGTGCCACAAAGAACTTTAAGACGATTAGCCGATGAGAAATATGGTTCTCCCGAAGAGGCTGCTTCTTGTAAACATGGAAGGTTTCCTGTATTTAATGATAAATTAGAAGAGGAACTGGTTCAGTACTGTCTCATAATGGAATCGCATTTTTATGGTCTAACAAGGAAGGATTTACGTAAAATGGCATTACAATTAGCCATTAAAAACAAAATAAAGCATCCTTTTAATAATATAATGGCTGGCAAAAAATGGCTTACTTCGTTTTTAAAGAGGCATCCTAGTTTGTCAATTCAGAAACCTACAGGAACATCCTTTGTCAGAAAGGAAGAATTTAATAAAGAAAGTATGAACAAGTTTTTTGATTTATTGGATGCTGCTTTTGATGAGTATAATTACCCACCAGATCGTATTTTTAATATTGATGAGACGGGTTTGACTGTTGTCCCAAGCAAAATTCCTCTAGTTATTGGAAGAAAAGGTAAGCGTCAAATTGGTACGATAACATCAGCGGAAACATCAGAGGATCTTTAATAACTTTAATCATTTGCGCGATGAATGCTACTGGAATATTTGTTCCCCCAATGGTTATATTTCCAAGGAAAAATATGACAGACGTGTTAATGAGAGGTGCCCCTTCTGGTTCAGTTGGTGTCGCACATCCATCAGGATGGGTACAAACTAACCTATTTACCAAATGGTTTGAACATTTTATTGATAAAACTAAACCAAGTAAAAATGATCCTATCTTATTATTACTTGATGGACATTATAGTCATACAAAAAATATTGAATTAATAGATCTTTCGACAAAACATTTTGTAAAAATAATTTCGCTTCCTCCACATACGACACATAAACTTCAGCCACTGGATAAATCTTTTATGAGCCCATTAAAGACATACTATTCAGAAGAAATTAGAATATGGACACGTACAACAGGAAGACCGATTACTCAATTTGATATTATGGATCTACTTGGCCGTGCTTACATCAAATGTCAAACTGCTGAAATTGCTGTCAACGGCTTTAAAGCAACAGGAATATACCCTCCGAATCGCAACATTTTTTCTGATATGGATTATTTAGCGTCACAAGAAGAGATAGAAGAAGTACATTCTGAAAATGTTTTGCCTCTAACTCCAGTGCTCGCATCTGATGAAGTTTCTGTTAATAGTAATATACTTAAACCTTCCTATTCTACAATATCATCTATTGAGTTACAACCATCTACATCATATAACATTTCTCCGTTTGAAATTATGCCATTAACAAAAAAGCGACGAAAAGTTTCATCTAGAGGCCGTAAACCTTCTGAAGCACAGGTTATCACATCATGTACATATCGAAAAAAATTAAAACAGACAATAAATGAGAAGAAAAAACAAGACTGTAATGAAAAAACAAGAGGTCGAGGAGGAAGTCGAGGAAGAGGTCGAGGAAGAGGTCGAGGAAAAGGTCGAGGAAGAGTTCGAGGAAGAAGTCGAGGAACAGATAGTTCACACTGTCAAAATTCGGATCAATTCGCTGGTCGAGATAATAAAAACGATGTTTTGTCTATAGAAACATCATCTGATGATTTAAATATATCAATAGATCTTACAGACAATGATACAGCTTGCATTTTTTGTAATGCACTTTATTCTAAAAACATTAATGGAGAAGAGTGGATCAAGCGACGCGGTAGCGTCGCGACGCCAAGTGCATAAAATAAAAATATAACCGTTTGACATGATGACATGATACTTGATGCGTGTATATGTTCATGTCGATGTCAAATTCACGACGCTACCACTAGCTTTATCTCGAGTTTTCACATCTTGAAACTTTAGATTAAAATTACTCAGAATTTAAAAGCACAATCAAAAATCTAAAAACACTTTTATTATATAATGTCATCGGTATCTTTCGATTGCGACCAGTCCGAATAAAATTGGT